GTTAGAGATGTCCCCTCTGAAGTTTTAGACGAAGAGGTCATATAAATATTCCTCAAGGCATAAGCTCCCCAGTTGAATACTGTATGCTATTTTTTTACACTAAATATCACTCAAATGTTTATGAGAGAGACCAATAGATAAGCAGACAACTTCCTCAGTGACACCAAGCTTAAGAGAAGGTCCTTAGGTCACAAATGGGGGCATGTAACAGTGAATGCTGTAGCACCTGAAAAATAGCCGGGAGCAGGAAAAGGAATAGAACAACGTGCCAGAAGTGTCTGAAGGGCGTCCTTGCGCCAGAAGGGTCTAAAGGGTGTCCGTGTGACAGAGGTGTCTGAATGGCGTCCATGTGACAGAAGTGTCTGCAGGGCTTCCGTGTGCCAGAAGTGTCTGAAGGGCGTCCGTGGGCCTTGTTTCTCAAAACACAAATGTTAGGACTTATTCAGGCTTCATCCATAAAAAAAAAAATTCACACAATTAATACAAGTAAATCAAGTTTATTCTATGTTTAGGAAAAAATTACGTGCATAAATTATGAAATCATGATAGCCCATGAGTATGCATATTGAGATTTCAGTTTGATTTGTAAAATATTGTATTACTTCTTTCAATTTCCTACAAGAATATATTTAATTTATATACGTCAAGGAAATAGTTCATGTTTTATAAATTTGTTTGCAGTGCGAGTGCACAACTCGTAAAAAATTGCTCCGTATTTTTTGGCACGGACACCCAGAAAGGCTTCGTCCCGAAAGGGATAACAACGATGGAAGATTTGTCAGAAAACAATAAAACTAAAAGAAAAAAAAAATTAATTCTACTTTCGTATTGGTCATTACAGTTTGCCGCACTTTAATGGTCCCAAAACCAAAATTGGAAATTATTCTACAATACACTTTTAAAAACTCAACAAATGAACAAATCCCTTCAACTGTATTGGTTTCTAACATTGAATAGCGTTTGAAGTCAGTGTGCAAACGATCCGCGTTATATGTTAACAGTTAAAATACAAACACTATCATTTGGAGTTGACAATCAAATCGATATAAAAGCTAACACAGAAGTCATTGAGGATTCGAGTCATTCCGGCTGCTCACAAATGGATCAACTGAATTTTTCAAATAAAAAAAAATAATACAGTCATGTAAAAAATAAAAATTATTTTTTTAAAAAAGGAGAGATCCTTTCATGGAGTTAGGAGGAGTCACAAACAAGGGTGACCTTGTGATAGAGTCACAAACAAGGGTGACCTTGTGATATTGATCAGATTTACCACTACAGGTAAAAGTTATTCTATAGCAAGAGAAGGATTCAAATCAAAGCTTTAGCTTCCCCCCCCCCCAAACCAGCCAAAGCCTCACACGATGTTAACAATGTGGATTTAGATGTCAGGTGTCATTCACTGACATATTGTGTTACAAATGAAATACAGTGACTCCAATAGTTTACTATACATGGGGACTCGAGGGAATGAAACTGCTGACGTAAACCTTTGAGTTTATAATTAAACAATTTAAAAACNTGGGGGTGGGGCTGGGTGTGGGGCTGGGGGTGGGATTGGGGGGTGGGGCTGGGGTGGGGATGAGGTGGGGGTGGGGCTGGGAGTGGGGCTGGGATTGGGGCTGGGGTGGGGTGGGGCTGCGGGTGGGGCTGGGGGTGGGGCTAGAAATGTGACAAAACATGAAAAGAGTAACACAGTTTATACGAAACACAAATTAGTGCTGGCCCCCTCAAGGCTCGCAGCGGCACATTTTGTTATGGCCCTAAACATTTTTTGATATTCCGATGACCAACTCGCCGATACGCCGCAGATTTATTTCATCAAAAATTTCAGAAAAAAAACAAAGAAAATATTACGCACCAAACGCCCTTTGACATATTTATTAATTTTTTGTTAAGGAATCTTAATTCAGCACAGTTATTGCGAATTTTACTTGATATTCCGCTTTAAAGACAGGAAAAACTGCTTTTTTTGGGGTTGGATAATTGGGTCTGAAAATTTGAAAGAATTTGTTGTCATCGACAATGAGTGTATAGACCAAGTTTAAACTCAATAGTTTGACCGGAAAAAGGGGGGGGGCAATTAGTCATCTGAAGATTTAACCAGCTAGCCACACACGAACAAAAGCAAAGTTAATATAAAGGATTTATAAGTAGTTCATAATATTCTTCCAACTGGGGTGGGGGGTTGTTGGGGGGGGGAAATGGTGGAGAACGGCAATGACCTATTAGGTCCATAACTGACGAATTTAATAGTAGTTTGCTTTTTTTCATAGACTTGTAAATTCATTTCATTATTGCAGGATGAAATTAAAAAGGCCAAATTAAGTGGACTAATTATTTGACCTACGGACGGGAGTGGGCTGATGTTTTTCTCACATAAGAAAAATTATTTTATAAGATTATCATCAATATGTTTTAGACACCAAATAAATCCTAGCCTAGAAGAATTAAACTACAGCTGAAAATACATTTCTTTTCTTTTTTTCCACAAGATTTAATCCAACTTAAATTGTAATCCTTACATTAGTAAATAAAATAATTAAATCCTTATTAATAAAACAGTTGTAGTCGAAGTTCAAGGTTATAAAAACATAAATCTTGTAACCAAATTTAATTTATGACTTTCCTAAGCGTAGTTTGATACATGCCTCAGTTGTATCCATTTATAAATATTTCTTCGAACTATAAAATTATAATTTGTTCGACAACAGAACTAGGTGTGTTAGTTACCGGTGAAAATTCATCGCCTTTAACAAAATATTACAGTATGTAGATAATGCAATATTTGTAGGTGTAAATGGGAGAAGGTCCCTTGTTCTGGAGAATGACTGTGCTTTATTCATAATTACTTCATTAAGGATGTTATCATGACACATCATTCAGATAACTATTACAAAATCATATATCTTTACAAATCACCAGGCGTGTAGCATTTACCCGTGTAGCACTGATTCGTGTAGCACTTACCAGTGTAGCACTGACCCGTGTAGCACTGACCCGTGATGCATTGACCAGTTTAACACTGGCCCGTGTAGTACTGACCGGCGTAGCACTGACCCGTGTAGCACTGACCCGTGTAGCACTGACTCGTGATGCATTGACCAGTTTAACACTGGCCCGTGTACTATCTTGATGCTGAATTTGAAATTTAAAAAAAAAAAAAAAAAATATTGTTTTTACGCATGTCTAGTGGGATTTTCAACATTACTCTTTGCAGCTGATATGCGTTATGAATGTAAACAGGGCAGAGTATTTCCATCAATGGCGTCTGCCGCCATCTAGAGTACCATTTAAGAATGTTTCGATGGTATCTGAGATCAGCTCAACCCAGAGCTTCTTTACGTCGACTTAATTCCTGTAAGCCCATCCACCAATCCATTACAGCCCATTGTTCAAATGACACAGTTACAGCCCTTCTGTGCCATGGCCCGTTTTAAACCCATGTTTGATGATTAATTTCATCACATTGACAATACAATTCCCCTTTCAAACAAAATACCGTCCATTGTTGTGTGTGTGTGATGTTTGAGTATTTTAAATCATTGCTTGTTTTAAGGCCAGGACGAGAAACATAGGGTGTAGTGTTCAAAAGTACACGGTTACATTAGCACGTCCTTCCGTTTCCTGACACTTTCTTTCGAAACTCTTAAATTTCTTGACACCTCCGTTATCGGCTGTTTCGATAGCTACATCAATTTTGATTCCGCTGGTCAATGTTTAGTAAAAACACAATCAATGATTAGTCAAAATTGTTCATTGTTCAGTCAAACTTGTTAAATGTTCAGTAAAATATGTTCAAAGTTCAGTAAAAGTTGTTCAATGTACAGTAAAATGTGTTCAATGTTCAGTAAAATTTGTTCACTGTTCAGTAAAATTTTTTCAATATTCAGCAAAATATGTTCAATGTACAGTAAAATGTGTTCAATGTTCAGTAAAATTTGTTCACTGTTCAGTAAAATATGTTCAAAGTTCAGTAAAAGTTGTTCAATGTTCAGTAAAATATGTTTAATGTTCAGTAAAATTTGTTTCACTATTGAGTAAAATATGTTAAATTTTCAAAGTAAAAAAAAAGAAAACACATACTAGAAATGTATTTTAGACAGCTGAAATTTCCCTTTTAAAGTCGAATTCGTTTGGTTCAAAAGGTTTTTTAAAAAGATAAAATATGTTTTGAATTTTAAAAAAAATCAATTTAAGACATTTCAACATGGATGTTCTAAAATGTGTGCTTGATGGGCCGTACCAACAACTGAGTTTAAACAAATAACATCACGTGATTGTTTGAGCAAACTTTACGGGTCAGTGCTGGGTGTCAAGCTAACACGTCATTAGCATTGAGGCCTAGGCCGTGCCAGGGAATCACACTTTGTATTAAACAACTTCGGCTGTTAGTGAATCAAGCGTTTTTACGGAAAATTTGTAACATGAAAAAACAAAGTTCCACTGTGTTTAATTCCTTTCGCGTCATTCGTTATCTCATCATATTTTGTGTTTCGGCAGCAGTCTCGATATTTGATGATTCTGAAACAAAGTCTAGCAGGATGTGCGAAACCGGTAAGTATTTCCAAGATTTTAAACCAACAAAACTCGACTGCGCATCGGAATCTGCTGACTTCCTGTTCGAGATGTTAGAAAATTGTGATTGGAGTCCTACCGTTGTGGTTGGTGACGGTGATTTTATGGAAACCTTGCAGGAACTTTTACTACTCAAATTTCATTTGCATAAACATTCTGCCCTGCACTTTGACAATTCCTCGCTGGATTCTAGCGTAGCGTTTAGCCAAGATATTATCCGAAGACTGTATGTTGACGACAAATTGAGAAATTTCATTATCATTCTGAAAAACCCAGTGTTGATATTGACTTATTTCGAGCAGGCTTACGCTGCAGAAGAAAGAGGGAGGTGCGCCTTAATGCCGCACAGTTTAAGACTCGTTGTGGTACTCCTGGAGTCTAATTTAAATTTCATCGGGGAAAAGCTGAAAAGGTGCGTATTTGACAATGTCGCGATCGTCACAATCGGTCAAAATAAAATGGACATAAGAGGTGTGCACTCTCTTATGTGGAGACCAAACAGAACAAGGGAGCTCGAAACCATCAAAACTGTTCATTCGTGTCAGCCAACGATAAAAAAAGAAATTTGCCAGCTTTTTCCTAACATAAAATTTGGCCTTAACGGACGCTGGCTGCTTGTTCTGGCCAAAGAATGGTTGCTGCACTTATACAAGGAGCCCGTCCCCGGGTCGGCCGAGACGAAATACGTTGGATTTTATATGGACGTCGTCCATCTCTTGGCCCGGTCGCTCAATTTCACCTTTGAGGTCGTGCCGAAAACCGGGGAAGACGACCGCATGTCGTGGAGGGACTTCTCGCACCAGATAGCGTCGTCTTCCGTTGACCTCGGCGCCACGACGTTCCCCATCAGCACCAGCGCCTACTACAACCACACCGTGTCGTTCCCTCTACTCTGCACTAACATCAGCGGGGTTTACATGAATCCCGAGGGTCGGTCCTCCTCCTTTCCCAAAATTAAAAATCACGTAATCATCTCCGTCATCTCTACTTGTGCTATTGTGATCAACGTCATCATCTACTCCATAGCGACGCGAGCATTTCCTGGCGACGTACAATCAGTAGATAAATGCACTCAGTCCGAGTCACTTGCTAATGCAAACTCTCGTGAAAATAAAATGACTGGATCAGTATCGGCTAAGGAAATATCGAACACCTCTAGTTTTAGTCACTCAAAAGAAGTGTTCGATAGGGGAAAGGGTGCGAACACAGACCATGCGAAGCAATGCGTCACATGTAGTATGAAAAATAGAAACAAGAACATATCATCAACAATAACAGCTAAAGAACGAATGTTAGTTCTTAACAGAAAAGGCTTCGGAAAAGCCTCGGTAGGTTCATTTATTTTAAAAAACCTGTTTTCAGATCTTCGCGGTGTGCAAATCTACGAGTATTTCATTGACATTACATTCAGATTCATCGGGACGCTAGTGAACCAAAATTCTTTTCAAATTCCTTATGCGAACTCGGCGCGCATTCTACTCTGGTTCTGGAACATGATGGTGCTGGTCATGTCAGCTACGTTGACCGGAACTCTAATCGCTAATCTCGTGGGCAAGGGAGAGACTCTACCCTTTACGACTTTCGAGGAGATGATGGCCAGGGGAGACTACCAATGGAGCTGTGAGTCCGAGTCGTCTGCCATGCGTCTGATGCAAGGCGCTCCTAGTGGATCGATAATGCAGAAGCTCTATTTTGGCGTACAGCGTTACGCCAAAGAGTATCCTAACTTCAACGGCACTATGTCTGAAATCATCGACCGACTCAAAGGGGGCAAATTTGTGGCTGTCGTGACAGGGGCATGGCAGGAGAACGTCCGTGCCAGATATTTACCGGATTTGCAGACGATTGGAGAAATTTTACTGGTGACTTGCTCGGGATTGGTTCTGCCCAAGACGTCAGAATTGGAGAGCGCCATTTCCCAGAAGCTTCTCGCCATGTCGGACACCGGTCTGCTGGACTACGCGATGAAAACAATTAGAAACGAGACCCGTGCCGCAGGGCAGGCTAAAGACGAGGACCAAGTGTTTGATTTCAGATTTATCGAGCCCATTTTATACGTGTGTGGCTACTGCATCGGCTCCGCTGTGATGGTGCTCATCCTTGAATGCGTGTGTGCGAATGTGAACTTGAGAAAATGCAGGACCCACAGATGAACACCTGTTTTGTTCTCATTGGTCTTTATTATACAATTTTTAAACCCAATAATTCCCCTTATCAAACCTCACAATTAATACACCTTCTTGTAACATCTGCTATATTGAATGTTTTTATGTTTTTTTGGCACTTCCGGGCTTTGTAATTTACGCAGTCCTGTATTAATTAAAGCTTAAAATGGATGCAAGTTGTTCTTTGTTGTTGTTTTTTTTTTTTAAATTGGATCAAAGCGAAACAATTAATTGTACGAAATTCTTTTCATAATTTTTTTTTATTGCTTCTTTCCAAATTTTGGCAATATATTTAAATATAGTTGATTTTTTTATAATAAAGTATCCATTAACTTTAAAATGTAAAAATGGCTGTATTATGTAAAATTAAGTAGGAAATAATGAAATGTGCCTTAGTTCTAAGTCTATTTTGTAGCATATTTAATATTCAGTGCCTAGATGACGTACAATTTTATGAAGCAGTATAACCAATAAATTCGATACAACACAAAAAACCGATATAAGTTATATTTTAACAAAAACAGTATGACCTTATTTCTCGTACCCTTCGTCATTGTTGTAACGTCTAGCAGCGCCAACACTGCACAGTGAACTGAATGTCTTCAAAAACAGTATGACCCTATTTCTCGTACCCTTAGTCATTGTTGTAACGTCTAGCAGCGCCAACACTGCACAGTGAATTGAATGTCTTCAAAAACAGTATGACGCTATTTCTCGTACCCTTCGTCATTGTTGTAACGTCTAGCAGTGCCAACACTGCACAGTGAATTGAATGTCTTCAAAAACAGTATGACCCTATTTCTCGTACCCTTCGTCATTGTTGTAACGTCTAGCAGCGCCAACACTGCACAGTGAATTGAATGTCTTCAAAAACAGTAATTGGGATCTTAGAAGAAAAATCCCTACAGACGGTATTTTCAATTCTCGCCTTAACCTCATTGCCTCCCATGGGTGAGTTTTTCTTTTTTTTTTAAAATAAGAACTGTACATATTTCATCATATAATAGCGACATGCACCATTTTTAATGTCCCGAATCGTTGCCCTTTCCTATGAAGGCGCTCTACATTGCAACCAAAAAGCCATCAGGAAAAAATGTCAATAGCCCTCTTTGTCCACGGGAAACAAATCCAAAATATATAATCTTCTTGGGAACGATGTTAAGAATTACACCGGAATTTTTTTAAATATTTTTTTTTAACAATTAACTATCCTATATTATGATAATGTTTTCATGTCATCTAGCGATTGTGGCGATTCGGCCAAGTAAGACATATCACATTAGGTGTGCAACTGACGGTTATGAATATTATATTTTAAAAAAAAAAAACGATCTTCTGCAACAGTTATAGTGTTATTTCATTGTAAATATATTTTGAGATCTCAAGCTATGATGAAGCATGTTTTTTTTTAAAAAATGAGTAGTATTAGAGTGTTCATAATAAAAAGGAATATTGGAGTGCTAACAATGTCATATCACAGCGCGTTTTGGTGTGAATATGTTTTATCATAATTTGGAATGGTGTGAAAATATCCCACGGTAGCTTTTTGAGTGAGTTCAGAGGCGTCTATTTTTAGAAGTGAATTGTTAGTAATTTAACATTTAAAATGTTTTATTTGTAAGGAAAAATACATTCCTGAGATACGTTTGATGTGCATAGAAGCGAGTTTTTTATTTTAGAATACTATCTAAATTTTATTGACGGCACATTTGACAGTTTGAGACTTTCTCAAATTTTTTAAAAGATGAATCTCATTTTTCGTAAATTTTGTGAAGTTTCAACTTATAACAATTTTGCTAAGTTAAGTTAGACAAAAACTTGAAAAGTAACTTGAAAAAAAAATATTCAATGATCTTTTTAAAAAAAGAGTGTGTGGGGAAGAGTGGTTGGGAAGCGGTCACGATTAAGATGGGGTCACGATTAAGATGGATATACTGAAGTGGGATGTAGCGATTTTTTATACTAAACTTTAAAAGTTAATAATGAATTATTGCCATTGAAATTTTAAAGTTAAAGCCGAGTTTAGGTTCTTATAATGCTACATATTACATATTTATTACAAAATCCACATGAAACAATATTTAAATACTCAAGCTTTGAAAAATATTCAAATTTTGAAATAACATTTGTTTCTTATTTTTAGTACTAAATATTTTTCCTCCAAACTGAAAATAAACATATTCTCAGTTATTCTTAATTTCTCAGTTGTTGTTTTTTTTTAAAGTTGTTGTTATTGTTGTTTTCGCTGTTGTTTCTGTTGCTGATGTGCTTCTTCTTTCTTCAAGTTTACTCTCTAAACCGTGTGTAATATTTCTTATTGCTTCAACCAGGTCGCTTTCTTCCCCCATCTTACACTTTGCATTCGAATTGGAGTCATAAGGAACGTAAACTGAAATATTTATAGCTTTAAACACTTTAATTATTGAACATTACGTATCGCGACGAAAAAGCTATTTTTTTCCCTGAAAGAAAATATAATTTTCTGAGGAGAAGCTCTTAAAATTCTACATTGGTTAAATCTCATGTTTGGAATCCGCGTATAATTTATTTATTTTTGTAAATTCTAATGTATTTTCATTTAATTCTCGATAATTAAAAATTAATATGTTCCATTCCAAGATATGTATACGCACGCTTTATATGTGCTTATCACAAGAGTGGCATAAGGTCATGCACGTCATCTTTAGACCTTAGTTATATAACTTTATGAGAACTTCGGGAACTTGTGTTATACAGTAATACCTCGAACATTCTTGAGATTAGGTTCCAGAACACGTCGCGGATCAGAAGGTATCGTGAAGGCGTGGTACAAGCTACTAAAAAAAATTTGCTTTAAGATGTATGTTTCTAGAGTTTGACCCGAATCCCGCACCCAAAGCATTTCACTTGCCTTTAAAAGTTAGCTTAATACATTGTCCTTGTTTAAAAAAATGGTTGATGTCAAAACTGAGTTTATTTATTTATTTATTTATTTAGGCATTTTTATATAGCGCTGATCATAAAGCTCTAAGCGCTTTACAATTATTAAAACATGTAAACTAAGTAAATACAAATGAGACACTAGGATAGTAACTACTATTCTATAGAAACAATGAAAATGGCTATAAAACGAGGACACTTTGACACTTCAGGATCAACCCGAAACAGAAAATGAGGTAGGGCAAGGAGGGTGCATCACAGGTCATAGGCGGACCTAAACAGATGAGTTTTAAGGGACTTTTTGAAAATGGACGAGGTTTCACTATGACGTATATGGAAGGGGAGCTGGTTCCAGAACGTGGGCCCATGGAAGCAGAAGGAGCGTTCACCGATGGTCTTAGTTTTAGTTCTTGGGATTGAGAGGGATTGAGAGACTTGAGTTAAGCATTACCTAACAGCTATTTGCCACACTAGCACAGTTACAGGACGGTATACTAATGTTACCATCCCCCACCCCCCACCACGATTTACTATTCCTTGGCTGCCATTTTCTTTTGTTGGGTAAAAAAACCAAGTAGCGGATGGGACTATAGACTTAATAACTGACTTTTCTCTGTCATTGCCAGGATGATAAACTCGGTAAACTAGGTCAACTTTAAGGTAACTAGGCAAGTAGTCTAACTTCATATACATTTAGAAGCATGAAAACTTATAAGTTGCTTTAAAACTTAACATTTCTACAGGGTTTTTCGAGAATTTCGAAACAAAAGATGTGCGAATGCAAATAAGTTAGGTTCCAGTGAAAATTTCGCGAGTCCATGAATTCGCAAATTCCTAAACGCAATTCTACTAGGTAAGACTGTAACATAAAATAAGATAAGATAAGATTATTTTATTGATCTAAACAAATGGAAATGTTTTTTTTTAATGCATTATACATTTTCAGCACAAAAATAAAACAATTTGAATACAAGACATCTACATTAAATTATTTTATTTACCGACAATTTTTTTATACGTTCAAGAAACGTTTTTCAAGTGCTTTAAAAAAAATCCTGTTTTGAACTCCGTCACTCAGTCTCTTTTAAGTTAAATACAACAATCAATCGCCTCCAATGTTCCCTCTAAGGTTTTCCTGGTTCGTGTGCAAAATCGTACAGTTGTGTGCAAAGCTTTACAGTATACATTTTTGTGAGTTGTGAGTGCAAAATTTTACAGCCCACAAACACACAATTACATGGAAATTTGCTGCGAGGATACTCAAAACTGGCATGCATTAAAAAAGGTAATTCTTAAATCTTGACCAGAAACTGTGTGCGTGTAAATAAAACACGCATCTTTAATTCATCCGGAGAAAAAAAATTAGGTGACGCCAGACAAGAATCTTTGCAATTTGTTGATAGAATGGCATTAAATTACCCACAGCCACATCATTTCACTTTCGGCAGCGACCATTTCTTCTGTAAAAATGCCAGCAGTGACCAGTCTCACGACCATCACAATTACGGCACTGTCAGCGGTGCGAGTGGCCGAGAGAT